TGATAAGCTAACTCAATGTGCGGGGACGGGTGTTGTGTATAAAGAAGCTGTAGTACTACATTCCCCAATGAAAGGAGCGAAGACTGTTCTTTTTTTAATACTCGCCTTGTCCCGGTAACAAATTCTCACTTTGATTGACATGTATTTTCATGTAGGGAAAAGGACCAGATAGACCCTCGAACTTACATTAAAAAGTCAAATAAGGCTTTATATAGGAGGTTCTGTCCGGCCGTCGCCATTTGGGGCAGTTCCCGGTGGAATTTTTTGATGAAATTTTTTGAGCATCTTATTCATTAAGTCTAGTTTAATAATACGAAATTTCAGCTAACAATTCAATCGGGAAGGCATTCAAATGAATTCTTGAAGATAATTGTGTTTTTAACTGCGCAGTTATCTTCAAGAATTCATTTGAATGCCTTCCCGATTGAAATTTTAGCTGAAATTTGATATGAGTAAACTAGACTTAATGAATAAGATTATAAAAGTCATCAAAAAATTCCACCGGGAACCGCCCCAAATGGCGATGGCCGGACAGAGCCTCCTATATAAGGGCTTATTTGACCTTTTTATGTAAGTTCGAGAGCCTATCTGACCCTTACCCTTTCATGTATGTAAAAGTGTAAAACTAGATTTTCCCATAATATTCATATTTTATGTCAAATCAAGTGAAAAATAAGTAGTACTGTGTAATACACAGTTGTTTTGACATTTGTTATTAAAAGGTTACTTTTGACATAAGTTTATTTCGGAACACCTAAATAAAGAATGTAAGAATGTAGGAGGTTGTTTTAACTTTTGGGGATGAAGGTCGTAAAAAATAACATTTGAAGCCTTTTAGGAGTAAGAAGACTTCAATATAACACTCTTGATGTTTTGTTTAATTCACACGCTTAACATTTTCTTAGGGTAAAGAGAGAGGATATTATTAATCAACACTCAACACCATATGGAACACATTCTTAGTTTATGAACTTCAAGATGGCACGAGGGCCATGAAGAACTCACTGCTCACAATGTCCCGCTCTCATGATGAGTTAAACTAATTCCTGGGCTACTTGTTACTCACCATGGCAACTTAAGTAACAAGCCGACCGCAAATACTCTTAGGGCTCGTTTGGTAAGGTGTAAAGTGAACACTTTGCATGCAAAGTGTGGGGATGTAAACATTTTACACCGTTTGTTTTAATTAATTAATGTAAACTGTAGAACACTTTTTTACAATTTCGACATAGCCGGAAATAAACTCCTCGTTACAAGACTACAAGAGGTCAATTTCCACACACTGCACTAATTTATTAGAAAGCCACGTTGATGAATATAAATACATGTTCTGTCGTTGCTTGGTTTCAAATTTTCTGTGATTGTGATAAACAGAAAGTTTTAAATTGTGACTTTTTGTTTCTCCAACTTTAAATTTTTCTTGTTATTATCATATACATATTTGTTTGATTTTTTTTAATATACATAAATTATGTACGGATTAAACCATACGGAGTAATATATTTGTTTGACAAAGATCACAAACTTATCACTGGTGGGGAACAACGCAATGAAAATGGTCACCCAGTTGTTCTTCACACACATGCCGCTTTGTTAAATGGGCTTTATTATCTTTCGTATATATTTTAATGTAAAATTATTTTCCAAACAAACATTGGTTAGAGTTTGCGTGTAGTAGAATACATAGATCACCAAACAATGTACTTGTATTAGTTAATTTGCGTGCAAACTAATTACAGCCCTACACTTTACGTGTAATCATTTTGCATGTAAAGGTTTAATGTGTAAACTATCAAACGGGCTTTTAATTTCCTGAACCAACGGAGTCCAAGATGCTCAAGTAGCCATGATCGTCGAGAGACTCTAGATCACCTCAGCATTGTCCAATTTCAATGTAGTTTGTGTTTTCTTTCTGCTGCAACTGGAAAATGCACTAACTTCAACTTCAACCACTTCACTACACATCTTGATTGATTTACGAGCCTTGCAGTCCCCTGCAATCTCTCACATCGAAGACAATGCTCATTGATTCCGATCTCCATAGCAAATGCGCCATCAAAATTGACTTTAGCTCACCCCTTGCTGGGAGGTGTCCATTTCTCCCGCTTCTTCACTCCTCCAATCGGGTTCTGTAATTCCTCCGGTCATAGTTCTGAAGTCGCACCGACACCGAAATTTCTCCACAGCTCTTCAGGGAAAAAAGATAAAGTTTGAGTGAGCTATGGTAGCTCTCCCTTTTCATGAAAGGCATGATTCCTCGGGTACCAACAACTTCATACATTTAGCACAAGCAACCATCTGGGCTGGTATTGTTCAATTTACTTTCATCCGCCATCGCACAAAGATTACGCATCTCAACTGGTTAGATGTGTGCGAGTCGCTAGGCAAGTGAGGCCCTAGGCAAGTGCCTAGGCCAACTGGCCTCATGGCCGGCTCTGTGTGCGACAGAGGGCTCGTAGTAGCTGCTACCGTGGCTGCGCAAGCAAGTGGAGGCAGGGGCGGAACTAGCCTAGTGCCCGGAGGTGCTCGTGCCCCTGCAGTGATTTTCTTTTCTTTTTTATAATATGTATATATATTAATATTTAATTAGTTGAGCCCCTGCAGCTCAATCCCAAAAGCCCCTTACTTTAACCCTTTCCCTTGTGCCAGCCCAATCCCAAAAACCCTTCCCTGGGGCAGCCCGCAGCCCAACTCCCTAAAAGCCAAAACGCCAAGACCCCAAATCCCAACTCAAGCGGTCAAGCCCCTGCACCTGCGTATCTAAGTTCAAGCTACAATATAATGACAGAAACTGAAAACAGGTCAGCGTTCAAGGATTCAAGCTACTGCGTTCAAGCTACAACGCCAACAAATTACATCAACGAGTAGGAACTAGAATAACGATTAGCGACTGCGTCTCTAGACTCTTGCACGACTAGACTCCTTATAAGCCTTTTAATGCCTTAACCTAATTATTTTTCAAACAATTTTGTTTATAAATGTTACTTATTGAATTGTACGTATTTGTTTAATTCAAATAAAATGTTAATTGTTAAAAACTTTTATTTGTTGAATTCAAATACAATGTTGAATTTTTTGGCAATTATGTTTTGATAAGTGATAATCTCATTAAAATGTTAATTATATTGTAAATTTATAATTTTGTATTTATTGATTTAGTTAATGTTGTTAATTTTTTATAATGTAACTTATACAATAATACTCATATTATTTCAATTGTAATTGAGTAAAGGGTTAGTTTGGTCCTCGAAGTTGCAAAAAAAGGGTCAAATAAGTCCTTATATAGAAGATTTTGTCCGGACGTGCCATTTGAGGTGGCTCCCGGTAGAATATTTTGATGAATTTTTTTGAGCATCTTATTCATTAAGTCTAGTTTACTCATACCAAATTTCAGCTAAAAATTCAATCGAGGAGACTTTCAAATGAATTCTTGAAGATAACTGTGCTTTTTACGGCACAGTTATCTTCAAAAATTCATTTGAATGTCTTCCCGATTGAATTTTTATCTGAAATTTGGTATGAGTAAACTAGACTTAATGAATAAGATGTTCAAAAAATTTAATCAAAAAATTCCACCGGGAGCCACCTCAAATGGCACGTCCGGACAGAATTTTCTATATAAGGACTTATTTGACCCCCTTTTGCAACTTCGAGGACCAAACTGACCCTTATCCCAATTGTAATTGGTCCAGGTTGTTTGACAAAATATCACTATGTTACGATATTATACACCAGAACCTCAACAACCAAGCATTGGTGGTTCTTCATAGAATAATTTAGTTTCTTCATGAGATAATGTCATTCCTAACAATGACAATAATGTTATAAATGCTCGAATAGAAGTTGAATTGTTCGATGATGACATTGTTGGTGATTTGCGCAACAAGACGGGAGAAGAAAACTTAGCATATTGCTTGATGTGTTACATTAAGAAAGATGTATTTGTTAAAATTGAGAATGAAGTCATTATGAAGTAATTTCAGAGTATGGCACCTCAAAGACAAAGATTGCCGCCTCTCAATGAATCTTTCATTTGAAACGTCAGGTTCTAATCAAAATTAAGATACTCTTTAAGTAGTTATTTTATTTAAATTTTATAGTTTTGTTTATTCCTTTATTCATGATGCATATGATTTTTTTAGAGTAGTACGTAGTACGAAGTATATGATTTCTTTTTTATTGTGCCCCTGCGAGTCACGAGTCCTGGTTCCGCCACTGAGTGGAGGTGACGGATACGGGAACACGATAGAACAGTGGAGCAATCCAAACTCTCGACAGAACTGGCACACATCTAGTCTCCAATCTCCATGTTCCTTCGCCACTTATGCTTAACATTCTGATTACTGTGAAAAGTATCACTTTAATACTCAAAATGCCAAAACTCCAAAAGTGAAAATATTCAAAAGAAGAAAGGAAAACCAAAAATGTCGGACATAGAGATTATTTGCCCCCATCTATCCTAATGGAAACGACTACATTTATGGTTAGGGCTGAGCAAAACCCGATCCGACCCGAAAAACCCGATATTTTTTTCGGATATTATCCGAACCGAAGTGGATATCCGACCCGAAAAACCCGAAACCGAAAATCCGATTAGTATTGGGCCTAGACCGGGTGGCGGGTAGGGTTTGTGAAATCCCAACCCGACCCGCCCGAATATCCGAAATATATGTTAGTGTGTAGTTTGAATATTTAAATTAATACTTGTGTTCAATTATTTGTGTTATTATTTGTGCAATTTGTATTAAAATATTTGTGTAAATTGAATGTGTAGTGAACTAGTGTGTACAATTTTTGTTAAACTGGTATTCCAACACTTTAACTATCCAATTATAATGTGTTTTGATATAACAAAAATATCGGAAATATATTAAATTATGTAGTGTGTACTTTGAATATGTTAAATTAATATTTGTGTTCAATTATTTGTGTAATTATTTGTGCAATTTGTGTTAAATTATTTGTGTAATTTGGAAGTTTAGTGCACTAGTGTGTACATTTTTTTGTCAAAGTGGCATTTAAACACTTTAATTATCCAATAATAATTTTTTTTAATATAACCGAAATATCCGAAACCCGACCCGATATCCGATAATATCCGACTTAAAAATATCCGAAATACCCGATTTGAAATATCAAAGGGTCGGGCCTAGTATTTAAATTAAAAAACCCGAACGGGTTTAGGGTTTGCAAACCCGACCCGCCCGAACCCGACCCGTGCACACCCCTATTTATGGTACATAACAAAATATCAAACGTGACTCATTATGAATAACTACAAGAGCTTTTCTTGAGCTTAATGGGCACATTCATCTTCTTTGGATCCAAAACAACCGAGCACTGGACCCTTCTATAAAACTTGGGCTTCACCAGCTGGCCCAACACATAAGCCCTTGCTCTCACCTTAAATCTCAACGTCAACGGCACCGGCACCGTCGGCTTTCCGTCATTGCTCGTCAGGTCAGCACCGCCGCCGTATAACGGAATCCCGTTCCCTCTTAACGTCACCGTTACCGTCCTCTGGCTCTTTCTCGATTGATAGAACTGGTTAATCTGAAAAACAAACAACATTAATGAAACCTCTCATTTAGCAGAAATCCGAATTGACGGAAAGTTATCTTACCGTTCCTGTAGCGACGGTGAGCTCGGAATATGAGAGATCTAACGGCGTAGACGTTACGTGGGTCCCGAAAAACGTTCCTTCGTTACGGAACACAAACTTGACGGTGCAGTTCATCGACACCATCTCCGTCGCGACGCCGGAGTGGTCCATTCCGGCTTGAATCACAAATTGATCGAAAGAGATGCTCTGCATATATTTCCAATTTCAGTTTCGAATCGTTGATTTCGATGAAGATATTACAGAATTAAGCATTGGGTATTCGGATTGAGTGATTCAATTCGATTCAGGAATAAGAATCCATTCATAATTCAAATCAAAATTGCGTAAAGTTTGATTTGATTTGAATGATTACCTTCATGGTAAGTAGAGGTTTCTGATTGCGACTAACTCCCCACAGGATCAAAGAGAAGAAGCCGAAGAGGAGGAAGAACCCGACGACGAACGCCGGGAAGTAGCAGCGGCGCGGGAGGCCGGTCCGGCGACTGCTATCATCAAGGAGTCCCTCTTCTTCAATGGCGCCGAATTCCTTCCACTGCTTCTCCGTCTTAATGTGGTGGTGGTGGCGGGAGCCGTTGGTAGACTTCTGGGAGCCGGGTTTGAGTGAGCCGGAGAATCTGGTGGAGGAGGAGTTGCGGGAGTGGCGGCCGGGAGAGCCGGCGGGGCTGAGGATGGGGGTGGAGTGGAAGGAGTTGGTGGTCTTCTCGCCGTCGTGGGAGTCTCGGGACGGGCTCTGGACGTAGTAGACCGCCCGGTTCGGCGAGGAAGGGGCCAGGCTGGTATCCTCGGAATCCGTCTTGGCATGGTGGGTCGACATTTTTGTGAGCTCGAATTGAAAGAAAGCAAGAATAGATGTGATGAGGTTGATTTTGTTTGGTCGGTCGGATCTGTGAAAGAGCCCACAAAAGTCCAACATATGTCATGTTCCCATCTTGTTTAGTACCTCCAGGCTCCAGCTAGATTTTTTTACCTATATTGTTATACTCTCTCCTATTATTAATTCATTTTTATAATGAGTTAGGAAAAAATGGTTAGATAGGTCCTCGAACTTATATGAAAAGTCAAATAAATTCTTATATAAGAGATTCTGTCCGGACATCGCCATTTAGGGCAATTCCCGGCGGAATTTTTTGATGAATATTTTTTAGCATCTTATTCAATAAGTCTAGTTTACTCATACCAAATTTCAGCTGACAATTCAATCGGGAAGGCATTCAAATGAATTCTTGAAGATAATTGCGTTTTTTTTACCTTTTTATGTAAGTTCGAGGGTATATTTGACCATTTTTCCAAATATTAATGATGCATTAATGCTGCATTAGACACTTTGATCGGTGGAATAGTTAACATGCAAGATGTAAATTAGACTTTAATCACAAACAAATTACTAATGAAATTATGATACTTGGAGATGCTCTATATTTTTTTAAATAATAACTTCTCAACATTATCAACCAATTAAGTTACGTCCATTTACCGATATCCGTTAACACTTATCTATACGAATCGACTTATGTGATACAAAAAGTGCAAAAGTTATGTAATAAAGTAAAACTTTTTATCCACAATTTCACCTCATCTATTTGATATTTACTCACTCAAACACGGTTTGGTCGTCACGCCTACCCATTAGGTCGTGGGATGGACTTTTGTTTTTAATTGAGAGCACATGTAGACATCTAGGATTGTTAAAATTGACCGAATACGTTTGAATTTACTCAAATTTATAAAGTTTTATTCAGTTGGATTCTGCAAAAAATATTAAAGTATTACCGATAGAATAGTTAGATTCATTAAGGTCAGTTGAAAATTAGTTTAACATGCTTTGTGTTAATGGCGAGATATAGTCATCCAAGTAGTCCTTTCGAGAGGACAAGTTGATGATCACTCGGCCATTAGTTCATCAATACTTCTCAGCATATTATTTGTTCAGATTAGTTTTTCACAAAGATCATGGAAATAACTCTTGTATGGATATAAACCGATTATAATAAGTACATTAAAATTTAATGTAATATAAAAAGGACAGAAATGTAATGAGTTACGGAGTAGAAAACAAGATAAAAATGTAAATTAAAAATTACTACACATAAAAATTGAATAAATATAAAGTTCTTTCTAAAACTGGATAATTAACAACTAAGTAGTACAAATGTCACCTCATTTGTATTAAGTGGTGTCTTTAAAGCATCTCCATTGTAATATTTCTTTTACTAGCTTGCAATTTGAAAGGAGTAAAGGGTCAGTTTGGTACTCGAAGTTGCAAAAAAGGGGTCAAATAAGTCCTTATATAGAAGATTCTGTCCGGACGTGCCATTTGAGGTGGCTCCCGGTAGAATTTTTTGATGAAATTTTTTGAGCATCTTATTCATTAAATATAGTTTACTCATACCAAATTTCAGCTAAAAATTCAATCGGGGAGACATTCAAATGAATTCTTGAAGATAACTGCGCTTTTAACGGCACAGTTATCTTCAAAAATTCATTTGAATGTCCTCCCAATTGAATTTTTATCTGAAATTTGGTATGAGTAAACTAGACTTAATGAATAAGATGCTCAAAAAAATTAATCAAAAAATTCCGACGGGAGCCACCTCAAATGGCACGTCCGGACAGAATTTTCTATATAAGGACTTATTTGACCCCTTTTTTGCAACTTCGAAGACCAAACTGACCCTTATCCCAATTTGAAAGTTAATAGCTAACCATTGTAATATTTCTTTTACTTTTGCTTGAGAAAGCTAGTTATCTTAAATGAGTTACTAGCTTGAGCAAGGACAATTATTAAATATAACATTATAAATAATAAATAAAAAGGAAATAGTTATATCTAATCATTGGAATATATTTTAATTTTGCCACATATGCTTGTGCCTAGTCAAACTATGAGGGCAATTAGCTAACTGTTAGAGATGTTTTGACCGTTGCTATCATTGCATAAGTATTTAATTAATATTCCATAGCTATCATTGCATAAGTATTTAATTAATATTCCATATTGAATGCGGACTTTAGAGTAATACTACCTCCGTCCCTCTAAGATTGGGACGAAAGAAGGTGACATGATTATTAAGAAAAGTGGGTTTGTGTGGTTGATATTAAATTGATAAAGTAAGAACAAAGTAAGAATGGTTTAGAGCCACACAATCTTTACCAAATTTGGTATGGGACAATCTTAGTGGGACTTCCCGAAAAGGTAAAATGGGACAATCTTAGCTGGACGGAGGGAGTAATTTTTTCGCCTATGCCCCCAAAGTATATCTTTTTTTTAACCCCATGGGGCGTCAGGGGAGGAGGTTTGGGGGGCTAAGGTAAACTGGGATCAATCTCACTCTATTGAGAATTGAATCCGGGACCTCCCATAAGGGAGAGTGAGTCGGCGACCAACTGGGCTGGATCGCTTCATCTCCCCCAAAGTAAATCTAATTAACCACAATTGAGATATAAGTAACGCGTAGTACAACTTTTCTTTTAAAATTCTAAACTATAAGCGATATAGTACATAGTAATCAGTTATTTACGTACAACATATTAATGAGTTATTTACGTTTATGATCAATAGTTTTTTTTTATCATCAATCCAAAACGTATTATTAATCAATCAAATCATTAGCAAACTGGCTTACAATAAGCGTGCTCCTGATTTGAGATGTGGACGTGTGCCCGAGCAAGAGCATGAGCAACACGATTTGCAGACCGTTTACAAAAATAGTTCTTATACCGTTCAATAATAATTTCATGTAATTTAACTTTGACTTTGTAATGTTGCAATAATGACATCACATAACAATTAAATTGATTGTTACTCCGTATTTTGTTAAACACCTTCTTCTTGTTCATGCTACCGTTTAGTGAATTTGATCTATTTTTCCAACATCCACAATTGTGAATTTGGGTAATAGAAATGATTAATATTTAAACTATAATGTACTTTAATACTCCCTCCGTTCTCTAATACTTGTTTCTCTCTCTATTTTGAGTTGTTTTCTAAGAGCATCTCCAGCAGTTAGCTAATCACGTTGTAGTTTTGCTTGCCACATCAGTTTTTTTTAACTAATCCATTTTCCAGCAATGTGGTAGTCCAATGGTTAGCTACAATGTTTGCCTCTTGAATAGGCCCCACAAATCAATCAATTTTGAAATATACATTTTGAATGAATTTTTTTGTTAATATAATAAAAATAATACGGAGTATTTATTTTGAAATTACTTTCAATCAATCAAGTTGACAAGCAAACATAACCAAACTTCTGACAGATTGATCAAGTTTGTCGTCAACTATGACTTTGACCAAACATTAAGCCGACAAGGGTGAATCCATATTATTAAAATTAGTAGAAAATATGTATTTTGTTAAATAACAAAATAAAATAAGGAATAAAAAATGTGCTCAAAAACATTATCGTTGCACATCTTTAATTAACGGTAATAAATTGAAACCATTTTGAACATTATCGTTGCTGTTTTATTTAGATTAGTATATCAATTATCGATAAATTAAATATATTTGGGAGTTACCATTTTAGTTCAATTTTCTCTCCTTTCTAGCATGTAGCTTGTTTTGGCTAATTTGCTTATCCAAGCTAGAAGGTATTATGCACTCCAATGGTAGGCTACTAGCTTAAAAATTTTAAAAAATTGCAAGCAAGTCCTTGGGAGGAACCATTGGAGATGCTCTAATATTTGTCTCTCTTTCCATTTTTGGAAAGTTTTTTCAATAAATATACATATTTACCCTCATTCTCTTTCCTACTTTTTAATTTAAACACAACTCACTACACCTTTTAAATTACCCCTATTATTTTCCTCTTAAAACTTGTGTCAAACTCTATAGGGCCAACTAATGGAGAAGGGAGGGAGTATGTACGTTGTAATATTTTAAATACTTCAACTATTGAAACAACTCATTCCATTAAATCAACTATGATGTCAGGTGCCATTTATGTTAAATAAATAAATCGATAATGAAGGAAAGTGAGAAGAGATTAGGTTTACTATATTGAGCTGCAATGCCAGCTGGGAATATTTGTAATATAATCCCTATGGACTAATTGAAAGCTAATTTCCCGTTTGGTAGCACTGTTTTGGCTGATTCTGCTGAAATTTATGATATTCTGGCTGGAGTGGCTGTTTTGGCTGATTCTGCTGATTTAAGAAAAAAATATTTTAAAAATATATTTTATTAATAAATTAAAGAAAAAATTATATGTAAAAATAGCTAAAATTGTCCTCTACAGTAACTTCAGCCAATACAGCCAGAAAAGTAACTCCAACCTTACTTTTTCGGCTTATTACACAATTCAGCGCGCGAAAGTAAAAGTTACGTGTTTGGCAAAAAAGCTGGCTGATAAGCCTGATAAGCCGAAAACAGAGTTCTCCAAACGGGCTCTAAGTTTCATTTGCTACAACTAGCATTTCATCATAGTTGTATTACTTGTATATACTCCCTCCGTCCCTCTATTAAGTTCCTACTTTGACCTACACACATATTTAGGAAATAAATTTGACTTTACTGTTTAGACACTGTTTGGCACTGTTTAGACATTGTTTGACACTGTTTTGATGTAGGATAATTTTCCGTTTAGGGAAATGAGAAGATGATTTTGGGACGGCCCAAAAAGAAAAGTAGGAAGTTAATAGCGGGACGGAGGAAGTATATAGTATTATGAGTGTCCGGAATTTCTTTTTATGAGGTTCGAATAAAAAGAAACATTTAGATAAGAAATGAAAATGAATCTCATTTGTTGGATGGGAGACTGCGAGTCTGTTGAATTAAGTAAAATTAAAGAAATTTATGTTGCATTAAAATATGTCACTATATACGGTGTCATTTTCGTAAGGGAGAGTTCCCGAAATAGGACTAACACAGTTTGAAAATTTCAAAATAGACTGTCATGTTTTTTATTCCCAAGCTGTCAAGTTTGGAAAATATTCCCATGTTTGAAGTCTGGTACTACCAAAATATGGCAGTAATTAGTTTCATTTTAGGAATAAAAACATGACAGTCCTACTTTGGAATTTTTAAATCTTTTTAGTCCTATTTCGGGTAATATTCTCTTTTCGTAAATATGTCGGTATGTAGTACAAATACTTAGTGTAATACCGTCAAATCATAGTTCAATATGTAAATCTCTTAATGCAACATTGCAAAGCTTAAATCGCAGTGCAACATAAAACTTGTTTTAGTGCAATATTGTTTATCCAACAGTTAAAATTCATTCATATTTCTCACATTGTATGTATTTGTCACCTAAACCAAAATCTATATACATAAAAAAGTATTACTAAAATTACTATGAATGTAATGTCATGGTTAATTAAGAGTAATGTTAAACATAAGAATAGTAATTAAATGTTATTACTATAATCCCTACATTGAAGAAATCACATTTTTGTCCACTACTTTTATTTTCATAAATATTTCCTCTGTTCTTTTTTATTTTCAACATTTCCATTTTCACATTTGTCAACGGACAAATTTGATCATTATTATATTTCATTCCTTATTAGTAAAAGTATAAAAGTTTCGGATTTTGAAATTTTAAAATGAGAGGAATTTAAAAAAATCAAAAATTAAATTTGTAATATGGTAGAACATGTGACATTCAACATGTAATATTGTAAATGTGGAATTAATTTCTAATAAGTATTTACAACTATTTTACGAAAAAGTAAATAAAATATAGTAAAATAGAACATGTGAATATTGTAAAATTTCTAACATGTTGCAACTAAAAGAGAAAGGAAGTAGTATTTAATTATATCATAAAAATATGTTTGTCATCAACATGTAAATTCAAAATCACAATTGATCAGATCAGAATTATAAAATGGATTTATTTGTAATAAAAAACACTATTGTCGAGTAGTAGTATAGATAAATGTAAATAACTCAAATATACCCCTTGGTATATATATTGACTTCCAAGACTCACTAAAATATAGTACTCCGTAGTCCATACTTTAAAACAAGAGTTAAGTTGACTGTGTTGAACTAAATAAAGTAATGATGACTTAGAATCACATAATACTACCTAATATAGTACGGAAGTATGAGACAAAATGTGTGGGACAAATGAAAAAAAATGATCGGACAAATGTTCCAAAAGGTTGAATCCTAGACCCCAAAGCCCCTCACGCCCCAACCCAACAAGGCATTTGGGAGGTTGTAAGTCATGGCGACTTTGAATAGTAGTAGACCTTTTACCAGTGTGCACTAGAGGTTCAACCCAGCACATAGGAGCTATAACCTCCATACATCCACTGTCCCAACTTTCCCACCACTCAACCAACTGAACTACCCAATGATCAGACAAAGATTATAGGGCAGGGAGTAGTTAGCATCCACTACGTACTGCTTTTGTTATAGTAGCCTTTACTATACAGAAGGTTTTGCCTATGCATTACAACCAACCCTAATCGTACATTTTCTTTGTTATACTACACAAATGACAATCCCATACAGTAATGAGGAGTTACAAGCCAAGGCCAACATATTTCAGCATTTCTTCCAGCCCCAATGCTGATATATGATAGTTTCGAACAGAGCTATGTTAACAACTAGACAAACTTCGGCCGAGTAAAAATGGAGGGCCGCTTACTTATAGAGTTGTGGAGTGGTGCAGTCCATGTGTGTTGGGTGATAAGCATCTGATTGGTTTCTCGTTGGATGGTAGGACTCAAAACTGCCACTTCTCAAGCCAGATAGTTCCGGTACAAAAGGAATCGAAGTGGAAGCTTCTCCTACACAAGGATAACAACGTAGTTCAATTCATTGTTATAAAAGATCTTCACCTAGCCATGATAAGTCCCTGTTGAGATGCTAGGCTATTATCGGTAGCCTAGGGTTTCTTCCGCTTAAGCTCTGCCTAATCAAGAGGCGGGTGGAGAATTTCCCTCCACATTTAAATTATTCAAGAGACTGTTAATGCTAACTTTTGATTGATATTCACCTATATCAAGGAAAACTTAAAATAAATCTATGGTATGAAAAAATAGATTCTCCTGATTGAACATGTTAATATGTTGTTTGATTATCAGCTATGTGAATTTTATTTCAACCTCATTAAGGTTAAGGTAAATTCCAATGAAAAACATAATGTATGATATTCACCCTTAGTTATATCTGATTTTGGAAGTGGTGAAATGAAAAAAAACAAAGTGCATCGAGGAGAGTTGTATTGAATCAATTCACCTCAAGTAATATACGACATGTGTTCCTCAACAAATGGAATTGATATATTTATGTATATCTAACATGCCCCCTTCATACTTAACATCCTAGACCTAAAAAACGCATCCGTTGGTGGCCCTAACTTCTGACAATCCGACTGTGATACTGTATTAGATTTACTAGACCCAGCCCATATCCACACACTTTTTCAAATTTAAAAAAAAGCCGGGTCCAGTTTGGGTAAAAGGAAATAAAATTATACCTCTACCGCAAAATATGTGATGTCTTTAGGTCGCTATTAGATCTAAATCCGACCCATTGTCAAGCCTGACTGACCTAACTCCCCTCGAAAAGATACCCCACTAGCCCACTAGGTGAAGGATTGTCCACAAGAAATAAATTAGGAAAGAGACCCTTACGGGATTGATAAGGGACTCTAAGAGATGCACTGATAAATACCTACCTAGCGCTTTTTACAACATTGGTTCAATTAGACCAAGATATAAAGTAGCCAACTAAGGCAATCAGAGAATCTTAGTATCATGCATATGAAGTTGTTGAGGAATGCTGTTGAAGCCACTCACCAATTGACATGTTTCTTGAATGACAGCCATCCATGTCATCTGAAAACAGAATCCCTGCCCTACAATTTTCCTACAATTTGTAAGGGAAAACATTTAAAACCTACTATTGAAATTTCATAACGTTTTGTAATACACTTAACTGCAGTGAATGAAATGACCTTCAAAGAAATGGGCTGCTGAGAGGGTGGAAGGTGAGGCTGCATTGTTTCCATGTCGCTTGTAGCTTCGGAGCTCACAACATTGGAGTAAGTAGCCACAGATGTGAGCTTTGTGTTTGGACCATTGATGGCTACACTGCGCATACCATTTAGAGAAACATCATGGTTCATATGGACTGGCCCTGTCATATTGGGATTTGGAGATCTGTTTCTCCCATAGGAGCCCACTGCGACAGTGGGATATTGGTTCTGTGGCACTCCATTAAGGCACATAGGATAGCGGCTTAATCCATTTCTCATTGTCAACATCTACAGATAAAAGAATTAAGATAGTGTGTTGGCAAGGATTATTAAAGCTATAACAAACATGAATTTAGTTCTTCTTTTTCCAAATTAAGACAAGAGACTCAATTCCCAGGAATTATTCGGTTAGGAGAAAATTCCCTAACTATGACTAAAACATAACTTTCCATATATGACTTCTAATACTTGTATGACAAATGACAAGATTGCATTGTTTTATGAATAAAAACATATTTGTCTTCTTTATCTAGGACCAAATACATCTTGGTTTAGGAACAAAACATGTTGTCTTAAGACCTTTTCCTTTAGACTATACTTTACTAATCTGGTCTTATTGGCATGCTCTTAAGTCTTAACTGACTTGCTTAAGTCTAGTTCGGACTACTTAAATTTCTTCTAATATCATGTGTAATTTATTTATATCAAAGTATATTCAGATCTATTTAAATGTGATCTCATGTATTTAAGTCCTAGTATGGTCTGAACTAGTCTGAGACTGAAATAAGTTCATGTGAACATGCCAATATTTAAGGAAAGTAGTTATGTTTTAAACTTTATTAGTTGAAGTAACTAATAAAGGTGTCGAATCCCAACATCCCAAAAATGTTTTAAATCTGATAATTCATAAGGACTAGTAATTAAAATCATGAATGCAAATAAATACACACCTGGACCTGGAGCTGTAGCTGCTTGAGGTATTCAATAGCTTCATCAAGCATGGAAGCCTTGTCAGTCTATCCAAAGTCCAAACCACGATTTTACAATTACTTTTGTAAGTAAATAAACTTTTCTTCTTGGAGGTAAAAGTAAATTAAACATTCAAAGCTCATTAATTATTTCACCTTGTTGGAATTTGGTATTAGATTCTGTAGGGCCTTCATCTTCTCATTGATCCGGCTCCTCCTCCTCTGTTAAACATTTTAGTTTTACACATTATGCCAAAACCCCAAACCATTACTAAACAGTAAGATCATACAACTCAAACAATAAAATGAATAAGTTGAAAATTAAGAAAATAAAACAAGAAATAAAAAAGAAGAAGAAAAGATCCAACCTTTTCAGACAAATTGTGAAATTCAGCTGCTCTGCTTCTCTTTGTGTTTCGAGGTACCCTTGATTTTGCTGCTGATAACTCTTCCAGCATAGCTTCACTGCCCTCCTGCATATACAAACCTCATGAATAGGCATAGAACAAACAACAGAAGGAAACTAAAAATAAGAAAGAAAAGAATAAATTTTTCCTCGGGGAGTGCGGAAAACAGAGTACCTCACTTTCACAATCATACTGATCCGGTTCATTCTCGACGGACGGAAAATGACCCATAGAAGAGGGGAAACCACCGCCGGACGGCCCGGCCATGGAGAAACGAGGTTCGGTTTGTTGAGGTGGGGAAGATGAACGGAACAGGATTTGGTTAACAAAAGCAAAGATATCATCAGGGTCATTCGCCATTGCAGTCTTTCTTCTGTTTTTTTTTTTTTACTATTTTTCTTGGGAAATGAAATGAAGGTTTGGTTGTAGAAAGATAGTGTTTGTTTTAGTGTGCTGCTTTATCGGGAAAGCCCCATTGTAATCTATCTCCTGCTAATCAGAGCCTTTGAGATTGTACATTTGTACTAATCCAAATTTATACGGAGTACTATCTACAAAAATAAACTACCTAATTCATTATGTTAATACGAATTCTCATGAAGAAATAGGGAAGTAATGATATCTAATCTAACTATAATAAAACCAAATCATAAAAACACTAGTCTAGTAACCTTTCTAGGGAACCCTAGCGGTCGTCTCCCCTCTTTGAAGGGGTTAAAATTTTCCGCCGCTTTCTATCAATATGGGGTTGAAGCGACGGATTGTACTGATATTAGATGTTCTAATGTTTTGAATTGCAACTGCGTCAGAGGAGATAACGTTGTTGGATGAACGAGGTGCGGCTGCGAGGTTGTATTGATGCGGGATCGTGAAACATTGGTCGGCCATTCCGACGACGGTGGAGTTGGTATTCACCCATGTATTGTAAGAGCTCGTCCTCCTCCGAAACCACCTTCATACCAGGAAGAGCTTTGTGGAAAGATTTTATTTCAGTATTATTTTCTCTTAAGTAATACATAGTACTTGTTTCTGTTTTTGTCCGAGTAGATTTGATTTGAATGTTTTGGATTTTTGGAGTTCTTTTGAATTCTGATAGGCAGGATTTTGGTTCTGATCGTTTTGGTCCTAAATTTGTCCGTTTCAGGTTTAGCGTGTCATGTTGCTTTGTATGAGATGGCTGACTGTACTCTAAATCTACTCCTAGGGTTCACGATTGGATATGTAAATTCTGTCTGAAAGTTGTCTTGTATGTGTTCTCGATTTTACTATAATGACCGCTCTTTTATGATAGAAAAAACACTACTTTGTATAATAGAAGTAAAAATAGGGAAATATTTTCTTGTTCTTTTGTTAGTACGTAGTATATCTCAATTTCGTTGGAATAATCCTGAGCTCCCAAAAATCCAACACAAATATTTGAGAGAAGTAAACCCGAGTCGTTTGAATATTTCATTTGATTCTCAGCACCATTAATATCAACATGCATAACAAATCATTTTGAAGTGATTGATTGCGCGCTTTAGGTTCTTAGTCAGGATAGACATGCAATGGTACATGACGGTTCTCTTAGTGAATATATCCCTCAAATGTGGTTCGTTAAAAAATCAAGGTGTCGATACCACCCAAATGCACATACCATCTGTCTCTTTCTAAATAAACTTTTGGTATGATTTGATTCTTAAATAATGTAAATAAAAAAATAATGTACTCCCTCCGTATTTAAATGTTTGCTATACTTTCCTTTTTCGGATGTATTCAATAGTTTGCTACACTTTCTATTTTTGGTAAATTTTGCCTTTAAAAATATTCAATTACTCTTATTTTTTCTACTTTTTATCTTATCTTTCATACTTTTCACCATCCCTTCTACTTTTTTTGCATTATTCATTACCCTCGCTATTTTATCTTTAAATAATGTGCATTATTCTATTTTCTTAGTGTGAAACATCGATGGAGAAAAAGTAAGAATGTTTATCATAATTAATCCTTAACACTCATAAGATTATAATTGTCAACAACACACCAGGATAACCTTAAACAAAAATATTCTTTATAATTAATTGTACAATAGTTTATAAGATTCAATATAGTTATTAATTGGGTTGAGCTAATAGATAAGTGTAACGATCCTACACTAATCAAGTATGAGCTTGATCGGTGGTTCATAAGCTGGTATCCCCTCCTAATCGATTAGTCTTTTGAGAGCGAGTTCTACACCTGAACTTATGACATTGATATGAGCCTAGTATGGGCTAAGTCCGTAGTAACAATTGGTATCAGAGTCATCCCCATCTTCGTTGTCACAATACTCGGAGTGGTGTCCTATAGAGTGTGGCTTGAGCCCTGGGGGTGCCAACCGTGACCAACATAGTCGTGACCAACGATGGCGTTGGCTCTTCGAAGCGTGGGGTATTATAACGATTCCACATTGATTAAGTATGGGCTTGATCGATGGTTTATAAGTTGGTTTCCCCTCCTCCTAATCGTTTGATCTTTTGGATGTGAGATCTACATTTGTGCTTATGACATTGGTATGGGCCTAGTATGGGCTAGGTCAGTAACACAATGTTACTCCAGAAATTAATGTTTATCTATGTATTATATATACTATGATAAAATATACTATAAACTCCCTCCGTATTTAAAAGATTGCTACATGAAGCTTCGGTACATTGTTTAAGAAGGAAATAATATGGGGTAATGAATAGTGTAGGAAAAAAAATAAGAGAGTAGGTGTAAAAGTATGAAAGACATATAAGATAAAAAATAGAAAACGTAAAGGTAGTTGAGTATTTTTAAAGATAAAACTTACTAAAAAGAGAAACTGTAGCAAACTTTTAAATACAGATGAAGTATGATATAATAAAACTGGTGTTTCAGAGCCGTTTAGAACAATTCGGTTTGATACGATTCTGGGGTAGTTCTAAGTGAATAACTGATATGTACCACATTATATATATATATATATATATATATAACTCGCTCCTGTACGATATTATTTTATTTCGGTTTTATCAACTCTTGTATGGATCAAAGTGGTTTCTTAGTACGGGGCGGGAAATCTTGGATCTGTGCGCTCAGCTCTATTCACAACAAAAGTTCTGGGAGAACCACCCCTAGTTGGTCAAACGTCACCGAGTTCTCAACATAAAACTAACTTCCACACTATTGTTTGAGGAGAGACAAAAAAATGATTGAGCATCCATTCGAATTAAACAAACCCCGGTGGACTAGAGGATCATCATTTGATAAAGTTCTCTTAAATTCAATTGTTTTGTGACTTGAACTCAAGACCTCTCACACGAGAAGGATATTAAGTGTGGCTGTTGGTCCGCTTAAATTGCTTGCCTAAAAATTATATGTTTAATGCGCATACATTTTAAAGTTACATTTAAATGTCGCAACTCACACGCAACATTTAGGTGTCGCTTTAAAGTAAATTTTAGTCACATAAACAATCTATTAAGTTCTCACTGTCATCTATACACCAGCGCGCACAAGAAATCACATTTAACTAATTGATTGCGCCCCTATTCAGGGAGAACCATCACTGATCGATCAAACACCATCAAGTTCTCAACAAAAAGCTAACTCTCACATTTCCGTTTGAGGTGAGATGAAGCACTAATTGTGTGATCACTCAAGTTAGCTCTAATTGTGTGATCATCATTTGAAAACTCCTTTCAAATATACCTCCAATGGAATTGAAGTGAAATAAGTGATCCACTTGTCACCATCCAATAAATATTTTTCACACATGAATTTAGTCATATCATGGCAATAATAAAAATAATTAATAAAAAATAAGATTTGTTACATTTATGTGGCCATTACATTTATGTGGCCATTACTATATTCAAATTTGCACTCCTATCAATTCAACCGTAGTTGCATTTTCATCTATAAGTTATATATTTTTATTGTTTAAGAAAAAATCTCTTGAAAATTGAAATAATGACATAATATGTGCCTAAAAAAATGTTGTATGAATATGTAATTCTTAATGCATATTGATGGTTGTAGTAAGTGCAATGAGCATAATTATGTAATTCTTAATATGTATTGTAACTACAATACATATTGTAGTAAGTGCTAACAATTGCAGTCAAATTATCTCAATGTATTTGTATTTCAATAATGTGTTAGAAAAAACCTTATTTTGTTACTCAATTGATATAGTTTTAACTATTTTGTTACAATCTTTTTCATTTTTATCTTTCAGATGAATATAATTAAAAAACAACCACACATTTCTATTTAAACTTAATTTTGTAGTTCCAATTTATTTGGTCATTCAACAATAGATTTGGACATTTTCTTGATTTATATAATATATATATATATATATATATAATTCAAAAACCTCAAACTATGTGAATATATAAATGTGTAAACTTAAAATCCAAAATTTCAACGTATAATTAAGTATCTAGAACATTATATTGCATGCAATCTCAACATCATAGAAGTTATAAAATATTTATGTTGTGTTTGTAAGCTTAAATAATAAATGACACCCCAAAACATTAAGAATATATATGAAGTTGTTCATTAAGCACTCGAGGTGGAAGTAAAATGTATCTTAATCGGGCTAAAACTACCTAATATAAAGTTAATTGGTAATTTTTTTTAAACATTGCTAGTTTGGACATTGAATTCATACACCCACATGGTTTGGGGTACATCAATTATTCATTATTTGTGTTTCCTTATGCGTGTGAGAAGTAATAATTATAGGAATTATGTAGGGAGTACTTGATAATAAAAGATGATAGTGTTATAAAAGTATTTTGCAAAAATAAAAGTTGTAACATTTAGTGAAAAAGTGCTTTTAAGAACGTATTGTAATGAAAAATATGTCTATATGTGACTAAAATGTTCATAGATTCTTACTGTGTGACTATCAAATTCATACATGTCTTTATATAAGTAATAATTGAAATGAAGGGAGAAAAGGCAGCATCAAACACTACAAGAATTCTGGATTTTAGTGGCGGAAATTCCACCACGAAAGTCGCCACAGGTAAGCGTTGTGATGAATATTTGTGGCAGAAATATCGCCACTGAAATCTTATCATCAAAGACCTTATTGGCGGATAAACAGTTTTGTCGCAAAGTAAACACATAAAATAGTGACGGAATCTTCCGCCACGAAATTTAATGACAAATCTTCCGCCACTAAATTCCATCACCAAAAAAACTCATATATTGACAATTTTTTAGATAAAAGAAAATAAAATTATTCATGGTGAATTCAAATAATCTAGTAATACAATCGTTGATCATCATTACATATATTGTTAATTATGTACATAACGTAGTAACATAGCCAATATAATATAACATATATGTAAACATGAGTAATATAAGTAAGCTCATCATATATGTAGATGAATTAGAATTCATTGTCATCTATGAAATCAAAATACATAACAACACAAGTCATCACGAGAAAATTCGGTTCACACATAACTTAAAAATAAAGAACTAATGAGAGGGAGATTCGTGGTCTGAGTCTTGGGAGTCTTGGGAATCTTGGGAATCTTGAGAGTTTTCGGAC